CAAGTTTATTTAATAATCCTTTAACTTCTCGCATATCGAGAGTAAGTATCATTAACATGGTTTATGCTTCTATGAATTGAATGTTATTTTGATGTCTGTATCACTTTTTAATTGTGTGTTGCTGTTTATTTACAGTCAGTTCACATCTCTATTGGAAATAACATAGTACATTTTAAGTTTTTAAGTAGTGTAAAAAAAAGCACACATGAGACTTTTTGGATTATATTAACTTAAACTTCTTTCAAAACAACTGCAGTTAACATGCTTAGCATATTTGGTTCTTAGAGGAACTTTTCACGACTTGCTATGACAGGAACACCAAACATAAAAACGCTTATAGTTGTAATCTATAGTATGTTGCTTGTATGGTATGCCCATGTAAAGTTTTGTTTTTCCTGTAATATAGTTTGTATGTGTGTTTATCTCTTTGAATAATACTAATGTATCATGTTTGTTAATTTCTCATACACTTAACACATAGTGTGTTAGTATTTATGTCCTGCTAAAGTATATTGTGTAGGGTTGTCTGTAATTTTTTTCTGAACTTATGGCATCAGTTTCAATAAATCAACAACTGTTATGTTTTGTATTTTTTGTCTAAGTAAGTGGCTTACTCTGATTGGATGTTATTATTTTCAGAATTAAGATACTTGATTTCAACGTGTAATATCTTGTATACCTGCATATTGAACTAAATATGAAGGTATATGCAACGGTTTATTGTTCATCTATTAAAGATGAAAAAGTTTTTTGACGATTTTTTAGTTTTGAAATCAGTTTAATGGAAACACAAGTCTGCCTATTCTTGTATTTGTAAATACATCTTAAGCTCCAATGATTTTTGTACAAGTATTATTAAAAGAACTTAAAACAACGTCTTAGTTTAAAAGATTGTGTTATCAGTGAAACAATGGGAGCTAATGAACAGTATTTAAAATTACATTTGAAATTCATGAATGAATATATCATAATGAATCATTTTTCTAATCACTGACACGTGTTTCATTTGAATATTTTAAATGGACATAAAACTTCGACCCTTACATTTCTGAAGTTAGAATTGATGGGATTTACCTAATTTATCGTTGAGAGTGATATTCGCGAAAACCACCAGAAAAATTCGCATAACGTTCGCCTCAACTGAGATAACGATTTTGAGATTTGTGAATAATCCTGCTTTAAAGGTCTGTCGTGCGCTTGGTCATCATAAGTAAGAGAAAGCATTACTAGATTTATAATCCAATTTCTCAAGGTAAAATTACATCGCTTGTGAAAATGAAGGGTATTAAGGCTTTCACAGGGGTGGAAAACCCATGACTTATTGATATAATACAGATAATCTTATACAATATAGTTCAACTGACGGTATATCATAGCGATATGTCAAGGGTCTAGTTATAATTCCTTTAATAGGAAAAGTCAGCATACACACAATTAGTGATGTCGATAAATGGAAAATTTGTTTATAAAACCAATACGAATCAACATAGGAACACATAAAGATAGCAAAATCCTACAAAAGTTAGGCTTTCTCACAGTTTGTCTGCATTTTGATATATTTAATCGTAGTTAGCGAAAATCAAGATTTAAAGGTTAATAACGGAACAAGGGACTGTACTGTATATGTAAATAACAAATTTAATAATGGAACAAGAGACTGTACTGTATACGTAATGGACAAATTAAATAATGGAACAAGAGACTGTACTGTATACGTAAATGACAAACTTCGTAGGACAAACACTAAATTTATGCTAAAGCACGTGAGTGCTTAGATTTCTTGGAATTAGTTTATTGTAAATGTTTCTTTAGACAAGAACGCGCATTTATATATATATATATATATCTTATGTGTTGTTTATACAAATGTAAATTGTTTTCCAAGATAAAAGGTTTACTATGATTTTAGGCGAATAAGTGTTTTCTTTAGTTTGATACTGCTTTTTTTTTTATATTACCTAGAACAGTTTGTAAAATAATTTTCCATGATGTAAAATTCTATGCTTAAGCACAACGTTTACAACTTCAGCTTCTTAGAGACGTTTCACTGAGAAATTTGAGCAATTACAGCAGATCTAAATAAATATACTCATTCTTACGTCAATAATAGCGATTGTAGATTAGCGATAAACTTGAGGGCTTATAAAGTTAAATAAAATGTAAGATTCGATCTCTGTGGTGATAGCCCATTGTGTAGTTTTGTGATTAGCAATAAAAACGAGAACAAAAAAGTCGATACAAAATATGAACTACGTTTAAAACTATTTTATCCTATCTAACTGAAGCAGCTCAGTTTCTGGAAGAATCACAGGAACTAAGAGTTCTAAGTTCATTATAACCATTTCGCTTGAAGCTGGGTTATGAATTAATCCTTTAGTTCAGAAATAACTTTAGCATTGTCTATCTGAGGTTTCTTCTTGGGAAGTTTCGTTCTTTGATCATCATCTTTTAGCACATATTATTTGAAGTTGTACTTAAAAGTCCATATCTATATAGCTCTTTAGCATTGGCAGGTTTGTACAGTCTTTAAATGTACATACCTATATCGCTCTTTACCATTAGGCTGGTTTATACCGTCTTTAAAAGTCCGTATCTATATAGCTCTTTACCATTGGCAGGTTTATACCGTCTTTAAAAGTCCATATCTATATAGCTCTTTAGCATTAGGCTGGATTATACCGTCTTTTCCCGGTACAATAGAATTTTTTTATATGTTAATTCAGCGAGATTTGTGAACTTTAAATGGCTCGTTGAAATTGGATTAGTTCAGAGATAAATCTTCCATCTATGAGGTTTAGGGTTCGATTGAAGAACTTCAGGCAGGTGGTCCGGGTCGTAAAGTGAACAACACCGGGCGCAGAAGGAACCAGAGACGGCGTACGAGTATTTGGAAAACACATATTCTTTGTATGACAGACATTCCTTAACAATTCAATCTCTAAAGAAGGTTGACATCAAAGTTTACTTCTTTTAAAAACACAGCTAAAATTTTCATCAAGTTAAGTTATCAAATGTATGCATTGAAGTCACGTAACCACAAAAAAAAAAAGAAAAGAAAAAAAAATTCGCAATTCTATTTTACCGTATGAATGATAGCCCTGTCACACTGATTTACGCTTTAAAATTTAGTATATCAACTATTTATCTTTCTCCTCAAAAACATCAGAAGGCCGTGCTGGAATGAATACTAAATATTAGTTTGCTTACATAATTCATTTTACAATGATTTATTACATTTTTTAAAACCAATATTTCTATTTCTTCATACTTTATTGAAATACATCAAGTACTTTATATATATTTTATAATGCAGCCTCAAAAGTACAGATTACTTTAGATAAACAGGTGTATTTAACATACCTATTTGTTTCAGTACCGCCCAATGAAAAATGTAAAAACTAGGATATTCTAACTATAAATAAATAAGAATTGATGATCGTTACCAACGCAGCATTTGCATTCAGAAATAATTCAACTCTTAATGTATTACTTAAATTTACCAAATATAGGCTTTAATTACTATGATTATCTACATAATCATGTTACATTCTATGCCTACTAACAGCATATAAAACATAATATTTATTGTAAACTTTTTATCACATCCATCGTAAACCCTATATTCTCATAGAGCTAGAAATAGCATGCTGACTTTATGCACTTTCCCTGCTTACCAACCGCCAGTTTGTGATCCTTCTCAAAGACTATTGGCTACTGAGAGAATTACAAATTTTCAAAGTAATGAATATGATGCAATCGACACATTTAGGTCTTTTTCGAGAAGGTAAGTATGAAGGCTTATAACGCTAAAAACAATGGTTCGATACCCATGGTAGGCACAGCGCAGATAGCCCATTGTGTAGCTTTGTGCTTAACGACAAACAAACAAACGTAGTCTTTTGAAGAAGCGACAAGTTCCCAACAGTAGATTTGTATCCTGTTATTTATTTCAAACTTTGAATTATTAGCAGAAATACTATTTTGCTAATGGTTATTATAAAGTTATTTATTAATAAAAACCTTTAGGACATTTCGAGTAAGCATATCATTATTTAAAAGTGTTGATAAAAATCTTTAGGACATCTCGAGTGAGCATATCATTGTTTAAAACTGTTAATAAAACCTTTAAAACATCTCAAATGAGCATATCATTGTTTAAAACTGTTAATAAAACCTTTAAAACATCTCGAGTGAGCTTATTATTGTTTAAAAGTGTTAATAAAAATCTTTAGAACATCTCGACTGAGCTTGTCATTTAAAAGTGTTAATAAAACATTTATAATATCACGAGTGATCTTGTCATTGTTTAAAAGTGTTAATAAAATCTTTAGAACATCTCCACTGAGCTTGTCATTGTTTAAAAGTGTTAATAAAAACATTTAGGATATCACGAGTGATCTTGTCATTGTTTAAAAGTGCTGGTTTTTAGTGTTTTTTCCAACCCAAAAGAGTTCTTCACATAAAACAAACATTACATGGTATTCTACTAATGAATCTCTTGTTTTCTACAACCATCATAAGTTGTTTTTGCTTTCTTGTTTTATAGACAGGTATATATAATTAGTTACAATAATATATTTTTTTAATTATAATCAACCATTACTGATAATTATACAATGTGTTGTGCTCTTTCGTTCCTGAAGCCAAATTCTCACATCTATATATTATTATCTTTTATTCATTGGAGTTCTTAATTATTTGATAAATAATTACATCAACAATTACTTGCTTAAAACGAATGAAAAACTTCATATCATAAGCTAAATTATTTTCAAGAAAACTTGCGAGAGCCAGTCTATTTATTTAATTTTTAATCCTTAATTTTATTTGAATTATTTATTTTTACGGGATCGTCCTCATAATTACCATACCAATTAACTAAAAGCTAGCATCAGAGATTTATACTGAAATGATTTAAATTGGCATAGGAGTAAGTTGTATGTTTTTAAATCCATCATAAGTAGGAGCAAGCCAAATCTGAAAATCATCCAGTGTTGTTGTTTTTTTTTTCAATGCGTGTTTCATCAGCAAAGTCTATTTCAAATAAACTGGATCGCATGAGGCACTGAGTATCGGCATCAATGCCACGACGTTAGTTGAGTGGATCTTGTATAACACCATATGAATCATGGCGTCTCGTTCTTATCTACGTAGTGTGTGTACCAAACTGGCGAGACTGCTGAAAGGGCTAGCAGAAAAAAGGCTGATCCACGCCGCTGATATAAATCCCAAGCAAAGCTTTGAGGCGAACAGCTTCTAGTTCTAAGAGAAACGCAGATACAGTCCCAGTTGTGGTGATGAATGGAGCGTAGGCTCAAAAGACGGAAACTGTGAGGGGTTCGATTCAAATGACGTGCTCATGCCGTGCGAAGACGAGAAGAGTATCTCTGAATACAAAGATAACTTTCCTATTATGTATGAAACACGCGCACATGAAACGCGTAAAGAAAGCCTAAAATTATTTGCAACTATTTTCATTGCTGCAAGTTCTATCTTAAAAGACATTTTGTTCCTTAAAACAGGAAAATACATTCCATCATAGCGAAGTAAATATTAGTTGAACAAAAATACATTGGACAAAATGTTACCCTTCATGCAAAAATAAATAACATAAGTATACCAGTGCTGTAGACTCCAGCTTTATTAACTATAAACATCCATCAGTTAAGTTAGTGGCAAGGAGTGTTACTCAGTGTATATTAAAATACGGTGGGTAAGGGGGGATATATTATACCAGTGTATGTTTTATACACAGGCTTAGGAAACTTACAAGCAGGTCATATAGTTACTAATATAAAGCGACTTCTAAGTAGTGATATACAGAAGTTTCTAAATAATGAGTGTTATATAATGTCTTCTAAGTAATAGTATAAAGTGACTTTTATATAATTAGTGTTATATAATGTCTTCTGAATAGTAGTATAAAGTGGCTTCTAAATAATTAGTGTTATATAATGTCTTTTGAATAGTAGTATAAAGTCGGTTCTAAATAATTAGTGTTGTATAATGTTTTCTGAATAGTAGTATAAAGTGGCTTCTAAATAATTAGTGTTATATAATGTCTTCTGAATGGCAAAACAGAGAATCTTCTACAAAATTAGTATTACAAAATGTCTTATAAACAATAACACAGAGTAGTTTCTAAATAGTTAGTTTTACGAAATGTCACCTGAGAATGACAAGCTTGGCCTGTCCAAACTATAGTATTATAAAATGGATTCTAAATAGCAATTTAAAATGACTTTTAAATAGTTAGTATTATAACTTGTCTTATAACTAATAATATAAAGTGACTTTTAAATAATTTTTACTGTAAAACGTATTTGTTTTTAAATTATTACTCTAATGTGACTTATAAACAATTATTACCACAAATAATCCTTCGAAATAATAGCTAGTACTATAAAGTATTCTTTTAAATTATTGGCATTGTAAAGTTCGTTCGAAATAGTGAATACTATAAATAAAATACCTGAATTGTTTATTTAGTACTATATCACGTATTTAGTATAATTAGTATCATAAAATGATTCTTCTAAATAGTTAGTATTATAAAGTGACTTCTAAACACCTAATACAAGTCTTCACATTGATTAATTGTAGTATCTTACTACAAGTACCATGAATTGTGAAGCGTTGTGCCAAACAAACAAATACTTAAATTGTACAACATTAAAAAGGATTAAAACAATAAGTCTCCTCGCGAATACTGAGCGCGAAATTTCAAAAACAATTATCTGCGGAGTCACTGACGCATTTATAATTTATATTATCATACATTAAAAGTCTTAATTAATTAATGGCATTGTTGGAATTAACATGTGGTTCATGGTTTCATTTGTGTGGGCTATTTGTGATCTATCTCACGCAGGGAATCAAACCCAGATTTTAGCATTGTACATTCTGAAAATAACCGCTGATCCATCAAGGGACAAATTATTTGATACTGTACAATTAATGTATAAGAATTTGGATATGATTACTTTTTATATATTTGGTGTTTCGTAAACGTGATTATCAAACCTGAGACATGGATTACTTGCTATGTTTTCTAGATAGGAAACTATTTACTTATTAATATACAAGTAAGTATTACAATTTAAATGCACTGGACAAAACACAAATATGTAAATAAAAATGAAGAGACGTGTTCTGTACGATGAAGAACAATATGCTATATGCAATTGTACCTCAAAATTAATAAATTATTCTTTAGTGTGTCCTTTTTTTAAATTATAAACTATACAATTCGGGTACTTTTTATTGCCTATTACTTCATTTAGGATCTTAATCAAAAAATGAAACAGTGCATTATGTTCATAGTTTTCATGAAGCCTAATGCCAATAATGACAGGCTTGTTTTTGTAATCGTGTTACCAAAACAAATGCATATTTTTAACACGGATAATTCGTATTTTGTATGTTTCTCTGAGAAAAAAAAAGAGTTTAGAAGCTAAAACTTTAGACAGCTTGATTTATCCTGCTGTATACTGTTCTCTGAGTTTGTTGTCTAACTCAGCACTGCTCATGAATCAATGAACTACAGACAAATGGATTCACGCATCTTGCAGTAAGAGCGGAATAGAGAATCCTCAGTGGAGCAAGTTCTGTGGGGATTTGTTCGAGTCTAAATTTAGTCCTAATCCTGTGAAAGAAAACTGATACGGAAACTCAGTTAATAAATGAAGCTGAAGGGAAAATATTGCAGAGGCGGGAGTTGAGATCTAATGAAACTGGCATATTTCTGTAATAATAATAGAGCGCAGAGGTAATTTAATATTTAGGATGTCATGCAAAGGATTTATAACACATAGTTTCATGTCGTTAAACAAGCATTTGTGCAGAAACTGGTTACTTTTTTATGAATTTAAATCATGCATAAGTTTTAAGTAATTATACATAAAACCAACAGATGTTGATACCATAAACTCTTTGTAGATGTGTATCAGCATTTCAAAAAACAGAAACACTCAATGTTAAGTTCTAACTTACTTCTTTATTTATACCTATATTAGTACCTAATTACATATTACTTTAAACTCCCCCCCCAAGAACAAACACTGATAATATTTTACTTCATGACATGAGTTATAGTATTCTACTGACATCTTATTACTGTCCTTATACTTGTTTATGTTACTTTTCCAATTATATTGCGGCAAAATTTGATTACTGTTCGTTATGACCTATTGTCGTTTGATGCAAAAAGTTAAGAACGAGATTCAGATTGTTTGGTAACCTAAATATCTAGCGACTATGTTTAGTATCTAGTTCATTGAAGGCCTTTTTAGACACTACTTTCACTGCCAGGATTTACAATGGTTGTTAATATGCTTTATGGATCTCCGCCTCATAAAGCGGATAGTCAACAAGAGAAACTCGACGGGTAGCCTAAGCTCTCAAAAGTTTCTTCCTAACGATAAGATGGACTTCCAACAAATCGATCGAGCACTTTCTGTTAACTCGACCGTGGGGTGGCCCCATCAACAGAGCGACATCTTACTCTTCCTTATATTCTACAAGCCTTTCGGGTAATTTAGTTAGCATTAGATTCTATTTTTCATCTATAATAATGTATTTCTTGTTTCCAAAGAAACAAAACAAAACAAGTGATGACAGACACATCAAATTCACAGTTTAAGTTTTCCTACTGATGGACAGTTTACAGTGAGGATTATTCTACTGATGGACAGTTCAGTTCACTGTGTGGATTATCCTACTGGTGGACAGTTCAGTTCAGAGTGTGGATTATCCTACTGGTGGACAGTTCACAGTGAGGATTATTCTACTGATGGACAGTTCACAGTGTGGACTATCCTACTGATGGACAGTTCACAGTGTGGACTATCCTACTGGTGGACAGTTCAGTTCACAGTGAGGATTATTCTACTGATGGACAGTTCACAGTGTGGACTATCCTACTGGTGGACAGTTCAGTTCACTGTGTAGATTATCCTACTGGTGGACAGTTCAGTTCAGAGTGTGGATTATCCTACTGGTGGACAGTTCACATGAGGATTATTCTACTAATTGACAGTTCACAGTGTGAATTATTCTACTGATGGACAGTTCAGTTCGCAGTGTGGATTATCCTACTGGTAGTGGACAGTTCACAGTGCGGATTATCCTAATGATGGACAGTTCACAGTGTGGATTATCTTATGTGAACTGTGCATCACTAAGATAATGCACACTGTGAACTGTCCATCAGTAGGATAATTCGCACTGTAAACTGTCCACCAGTGTGAATTATAATGCACAGTTCGCAGCGAGGATTATACTGATGCACATTTCGCTCTGTAAGTTATCCTAATGACGCACAATTTACAGTGAGAATTATCCTACTGATACACATTTCACAGTGTGCACTATCTTAGTGATGCACAGTTCACAGTGTGAATTATCCTACTGAAAAAGTTCACAGTAAGGATTATCCTACTGACGCTTATAAATAGTTCTGTGGGGATTAGGAAAAATAGTTATCGTCGTAACTAAACGAGACACTTTATAAACGTAAAATCTGATTAATTTTACTTAATCATCATCCTTCAGGCTTCTACTTTTGGAACTTATATTTCATAGCAATCTTAAACTTTTAGTAGGTACGTAATAAAAATGGTTATGTATTTTTTATACGGATTGAGCATGCGTACCAATAATGTCTGCGTCAGTTTAAAGACGCTTCTGGATATTGTAAGGTAGTTCTTATGTTGTGCTAATTTCATTCTTGATCATAGTGTTTTATCATTGTTGTCTTGATCATAGTGTTTATCATTGTTGTCTTGATAACAGTGTTTTATCATTGTTGTCTTGAGCACATTGTTTTATCATTGTTGTCTTGATCATAGTGTTTGATCATTGTTATCTTGATCATAGTGTTTGATCATTGTTGTCTTGATTATAGTGTTTTATCATTGTTGTGCAGATGAGTAAGATGAACTAACTCGGATTATCATCATAGTGAAACCGGACTGTAGAGAAAAGTGTGACAGATAAGCTTGGAGTGACTCATTCTGTGATTGGTGAGGGTATGACGTCATTTTCTGGTTCCCAAGAGCTCAGCAAGTACCACCCATTCATCAGGTTTGTCAATTTTCCTAAGCCTCGGTTTTGTAGCCAATCAAGATCAAGCATGATGGCTACTCCGTAGCGCGCATTGTGTGAACAAGGCTATGCTATTATAGACAGCATACTCCTCGTGTAGTGATTTGTATATAGGCATTGATCTGGAGAACCACGTGGTAGTAGCCTGTAATTAGCTGCACATGAATCACAAAAGCCAACGCAGACTTTCTGTTATTAATTAAAGTTTTTATAATAACACTTGTATATTGTAACAGGTGTCCCAGAACAAGAACTAGCATATTCTGGGTGTGGAAAGTGGGCA